GATCATCAGCTGATAATGTGAAGGCTAGAGTAGATATCAAGCAAATTACGACTAGCAGCATACCTTTTATCATTTTAAAAATGTTACGATACAATTCCATATTTCGAAGAATTTAATCAAATTTATTAACATAGAAAGATAAAAAAAATTAATATATTTTTACACCACTTTTTTATCGAGCGTTTAATTTCACTTAAAAAAGTGTTACGACAGGAAATGGTTCTTTTTATCTTTTAAAAGATATGAGCCTCTAAAGTCAATATTATTAAAGTCAAAGGATATATGAAGTTATACATACGATCAAAATAGGAATTGCGCCAAAAATGACAATAACAGAAACATTGGTATAAACTTTTAGGAAAAAAAACCTCAGCACATGATTTAACTTATTGGCGTACCTGCAATAACTACGATATTAACCACGCATACTTGATAATACCCCCTTTCAATACTTACTTAATACACCGCAAGTGTTTCTTTCTGCAAGCATTCAACTCCTGTGTGATATTATTAGAACAGCTTAAATTTTTCAATTCTAACGATAATAACTTCAACTCCGTTACAATGTAACTAAATAGTATAATAGTATATAAAATAATAACCAGAGTGCCAAATGATTGATACATTGATAAAATTTGTGTTGCATATATAACATAATAAATAAAAGAATATTGTTCAATTTCAAAAGGGTACGAGTCAAGCAGTGGCAATATCTCTCTCAAAAATAAGGGACTGAAAATTTGAGTTATAAGATGAGTTACATAACACGAAGCATCTACTGATATTACCAATACATCGTAGTTAATAAATTTAGTAAAAATTTTTTTTTATTCATATCCAGACCGTGGAAATACTTGATTACGTCTGACAGCAATTGCTAACAGAAAAGACAATTAATTTAGTAAATATAACTAAAAATGGTTGTTACTAATTTCTTCGACTTACGTTAAGTTGACGACTGTTAAACTTCCAGATAATGTAATCAAACACTATTTCCACGCGTATTGATAATTTAGTCATTATATCTACGAATGTATTAATATTATCGTAATTTTTGTACGCATCTATGCCCAATAATACTGCAAGTATTGTTGAATTCACCATTAATATCCACCATATTAGTTGAAGTAGTAATTTTTTAATGCTTTTTTTGTCAGACCAGATAAGAAATGTTATTTTTCCCAAAATCGCTGTAATTTTAAATATTCTTTCTGGTTTTACCTTCATTGTACAAGGAATATTTAAAACTGGGTATCAAGGATAAAAATACAAGTAGTAATTCTCGAAAAGTAACAAATAAGAAGTCATAAAAATAATGAAAGTAGGATTGCGTTGTAAGTATTAAAATTAAATATTAATGTTTCAACGAGACTTTTACGTGACTTTTTATCGTACGAATCAGGTAATTTGGTTTATTAGTATACTTCATTCATTTTCAACAAATAATTTTTTTTTCTTCATATTTTATGCATATTTTTTATCGATAAACTATAAAATTATTTTAATATACTCCATTGCCTCGAATTAAGCAGGATAATTTTTGAAGCATGTAATAAATTCTTTTTGTTTTAAGTAAATAATGTAAATCGATTTAAAAATATTTTGTCTAATTAATTTTTGACTGCCCGCTATAAAAATATCAATAATTTTCAAAAATTTTATGTGTGTGTGTCCCAAGCTGGAGCTTCTTCTCTGGACCCTTTTAATATTAGATACGCTTTTTTTAAAAAAAAAAAAAAACAGTACAACGGTTGATTCTACAGGTCATCCCTGCACTTCCCGCTAATTTCGAATGTAAAGCGCTTCAACTTTCAGTTCGTCCCTTTTCGAGCTCCAAAACATGGTTTTACAGGTATTTTACTCTCTTAAAACTCTAAAACAGAT